CATTCACTTCCCTTCAGAGGGCGAGGCAGGTCAGAACAGCTGCTGAGCAAGCAGCTCATCAGTGTCAGAGGCACAGGAGCATCTCGGGAACAGCAGCAGTGAAGTTTTGTCTGCCAGAGCCACTCCCCAGTGTGACATGCCAAGCTGAGAAGCCCTGGCACTTCTGGCTGCTCATACCTGCCTGCCATCCTGTCCCACGTTGGTCTGTCCCCTCACCACAGTTCGGATGTTGTCATCCAACCTCCTGCAGGAAAAACCCCAAAGTGTCAAACCCAGCCTGTGTGAGCCTGACCCAAACAACTGGGGGAGTCCTGAGAGCTACAGAACCAATTTAAAACAAAAAAAACCTGCTCTAACCAATGCTAAAGTCATTATTTCCCCCCTCTCTCTCTGTTCAATGGCACTATCTTGCACAATTTCAAAGTCCTGTTGCAAAAATAAAAATTCATTTCCTAATTTAACCAGAGTTTCTTGCATTCCTGTTCCCTTAAGCAATATTATCAGCTCTCCCTTGTCTGTTTGCATTTCAACTTCCCACATGTGAAAGTGCTGTCTCAATCATTTCATGTTGGCAGTATCAGCCAGCACAGAAAATTTAAGTATTTCATGCACACTTGTGTTTATTTTGTACTTTTAGGACCAATAATGACAATTAAAAAATAGAGAGTGAGACTTTTTACAATATATATTCTGACCCCAAAAGCAATGAATTCTTGGCAACTGAGTCTTCTGGGTAGTTTGCTCACTCAGCCTTCAAACTATACAAAAATTTGGCATTTTTGATACTTAGCTGCTTTTCAAAGCTGCACTTTGCAACCCATCAGCTTAAACAGCCTGAAGAACACTTAACAGAAGTGAAATATAAAAATTATAATTGTTTCTGTGCCACTATTAGACTCAAGGCTGATCCTATCCATGCCCTTTAAACAAACTAAATCCTGTCAGCTGCAGCACAAAGGCTGCTTTTATGAACTTTGCTGACCATCAGACCTGATATGCAAAGAAATGCAGAAATATTTACCTTATTTTCAATCTGATCTTGTTCACAACTTCATCAATGTTTGCCAAAGACTGGAATATAAGAAAAGAAAAAAAATCAGAAAGAAGTGAAATGGTGAATGTCTTAGAGAGGAATATGTCAGCTGTGATCCCAAACACTTCATCACAGAGGGGTTTGAGGAAGAGGAGAGCAATGGCTTTGTTTTACAGGTGTAAGAACTGAGACAACAACTCAGCTGCTTCTCTGTCACATCACCAAGAGCAGAAAAAGACAGGTCAGGGCTTCCCCCATGCCTGAGCTCTGTCCTTTGGCAGCAGAACGGTGTGACAGTGACCTCCAGTGGGCACTGGGGATGGGGACAGAGCCTCTGCATTTGGGCTGAGACCCCCCTGCAGAGCCCAGACCCGCAGAAAACAGGCTGGAAGGAGATGCACTGAAGGCACTGCTGGGGAAACAGCTCCTCACTGCTGGCAAAGGGAAAAAAGCCAAGCCACACCGCTAGAGAAAGCTGCAAGCCAAAACCACGGCGCTGCAGAGGATCTCAGACGTGGCAAAGATTGGAGCAGCCTCAAGACACAGATTTCACCTGTAGAAACATCTCTGTTTGGCAAGAGGTTAAGCCAAAAACTCCCCCTGGGGCTGAAGTTGGGAAGACAAAGCAGGAATGTGGGCCCACAGCAATCTCATTCTTTACATCCCAAAAGAAAAAATTGGGTTCAAAATCTCCTGTGATATTGCACAGGCAACACCTGCCTGATTTGGCTGAAAATCCCCAGGAACTCACCAATGATTGATATATGGCAAGTTATGAAATTTATTCCATTAATTTATTTCCACAAATCAAAGCAGGACTTTAATTGCAGCACTCTGGGTGGAAAGAGACCACAAAATGACAGCAAACCCAGTGAGCTGCAAATTTAAGAAGTGATTATTGTCAAACCTTTATTTCCTGTGCTAGTGTTTAAAATAAAAGGTTTGGGTACAGGTTTAAACACTACTTTGTCCTTTGCTAATCAGGTTACCCTGATAGTTAAGTGTGGAAGTAAAATCAGATAGTAAAAAGTGTGAAAATGAAGTTTTGAGAGTATTTGGAGCCTGACTTACTTGCTCAGTGGGAAAGAGAGCATTAATATACTCCACAGCATTGAAATCTGCTCTGTCCAGTGGATCTTGGCTGGGAAATACCTGCAAAGAGGGAGAAAAACAAACACAATCAACCATCATCAGTAATTTCTGTAACTTTATACAGTTTCTATGACTTTTAATTCCTTCAGCACCCGCTTCCAGTTGTGTTTCACAGCATATCTCTAACAAGTGGCCAGGAGTAGAGCAGCCACATGCTCTGCAGGGCTATGACCTCCCAAAATTCCTGTGGATATTAGCCTGGATAAACACAGATAATTCACACACACGATTCCACACGCAGCTCTGGCACAATCCATCCATCCAGGAATTCCCAAGACACATGAGCTCTGCATCCCAAACCATGCTGATGCTTTTGTTGTTGTCTGAGAACAAACAGGCTCTTGGCAAGAGCTTTGCCAGGCCTCATGGTGACAGACAGAGGATTTGCTTTCCACAGCCCTGTAATAAGAAACGTGATGAATTAAGGAGTGGCTGTACAAGTTCTCTGGAGACTTGGCTTTGCCACTTTTCACAGAAGAGGAAGATAAACACAATCTGCTGAATGATTTGGGAAGGGGGAAAGAGCAGCTGTGGTGCAAACAGATCTCCTCTCTCCTCAGAAGTTCAAAGAACACAAACACAACCGCCAAGCTTTGCTTTTTGTCCCCACAGACTGAAGTGTGGTGTTTTCCCTTCTCTGCTACCACCCTGAAGCTGTGGATGTCCCATCACTGGAAGGGTTCAAGGCCATTCTGGATGAGGTTTGGACCAGCCTGGGATGGTGGAGGGAATGAGATGGTCTTTAAGGCCCCTTCCAACCCAAAGTACTCCATGATTCTGCTATTTGTCCCATATTTACAGAGCCATTTTCTGCTACTACAGAGCCAAATTCTGCTATTTGTCCCATATTTTCAGAGCCACCAGCTCTGCACTCCATGGTCAACACCCCCCTGGCAAAAGCAGAGCTGACCCCACAGCATCTCCCTACTCACTGAAAGCCTTCACACCTGGGCACATGAAGCAGCATTTATGCTGTTTTACACATTTTGCACTGTAAAATCGGTGATTCTGTGAGATCAAAGCAAATTCTGCCTGAACCAGCCCTCCTGGGAAGCCTTCCCAGTCACTCCTGTGGCTGAGGAGAAGCAGGCAGCAGTTAAACATGCATGAGTCCGTGGTGAGAGAAGAAAATGCTCTGACATCACCCCATGGTAAATGCAGCATCACACCCAGCCCATCCTGCTCACAGCTCACACTCAATTAATCTCCACAAACCCTAAATCTCCACAAGTATTAAGAGCAGATGAAACAAGAGGTGAGATGTGAAGATAAAGGTGCTCAGGAGCTCAAACTGCAGATAGGGATCAGTGCTGCAGGCAGCTGGAGCAGCTGCAGGAGCTGTCACTCCCAGGAGTTTGTCACAACCTATTAATCAGAAATGTCAGCCTGGGTTTGGTGAGGCACCAGCTCTGCCTGTGCTCCCCACCCTGCTTCCGGCAGGGCAGCTGAGCCAGCTCTGCTCATTTAACCAGAACTGGGCAGGCTTTGCCCCAAAAACTGGTTCAGGAACACTGACAGGAACAACTGGATAATTGGGTTGAGAAGAAGTTGGAAAGCAGCAGGTGGTGTCATCCTCAACTTCTCCCAGTGCTCAGGATGTCAATATTTTCCTACAGCTTTAGTCTTTGTTAAAATAATTCAGCCAGGCATGTGGTGGGTTCTCCACTGCTCAAAAGCTCATGTCTGCAAGTGCAGAAGATTCTTCATCTGGATAGGCTCGAGGTCCCCTTTAGAAGCTAACATTTAATTTACCTGTTCCCAAGGTCACCTTCCAGAAGGGCCAGCAAAAGCGACCCACAAGCCTCAACACTCAAGAAAAGTACAAAAAACTTATTTGAGTGCTACTATGTGAGACAAACACTGCTGCTGCCCAGACTTCTGCTCCAGAGAAGGGTCTTTGGAATGGAAGGGTGGCTGCAGGCAGGGCAGGATCAGACACAGAAGACAAGAGCCATGGTTTGACCCTGGATGCTCAGATGGGCTCCAAGTGCCACCAAGGGTTTCAGGGAACGCAGAATCCCCCGAGTTCTGGGGGACCACACGGATCATCAAATCCAGCTGCTGGCCCTGCACACACACCCCAGCATCCCTGTCCATCCCTGGAGCACTGTCCAACCTCTCCTGCAGCTCTGGCACCATTCCCTGGGGAGCCTGGGCAGTGCCCAGCACCCTCTGGATGAAACCCCCCCGTGTTTCACCACAAGCCAAAGCAGGACGCTTCGCTTATCCCCATTTCAGCCGAGCCACGGGCTGAAACAGCAAAGCACCGGGGTGCTGTGCCTGCGGCGAGCCAGCACCGCACGGTGGCACCGACCGCGACACGACGAGCCACGCCGGGCCCGGCCGCTCCGGGGCTGGCGGCGCTCGGCTCGGGCCCAGCGGCGGAAGGCGCGGGGCCGGCGGGGAGCGCTCGGAGGCCCCGCACCGAGCGGCCCCGCGCCGAGCGGCCCCGCACCGAGCGGCCCCGCGCCGAGCGGCCCCGCACCGAGCGGCCCCGGGCCGCGGCCGTCCCCGCAGCGGCGGGACCCGCCCGGCGCACCTGCTCGATGGCGGCCTGCACGGCGGGCGCCAGCTCCAGCGCCGCCTCCAGCCCGGCCTCCAGCTCCGGCTCGTCCTCCTCCATGGCGGCGCCGCCGCTTCCGCCGTGAGGGGCGGTGCCGGCAGCGCCGGGCGGGGCCGCGGTGGGCGGGGCCTCGTGTGGTGGGCGGGGCCTCCCCGGGTGGGCGGGGCTTCCCGCGGGGGCGGGGCCTCCGCCCGGCGGAGCGGGGCGCGTCCCGGGAGCGGCGGGGCTGGTCCGGACCGAGCCGTGCCGAGCCGCGCCGAGCCGAACCGGGCTCTGCCGCCGCCCGGCCGGCTGTTGGTAAGCGGCGGCGGGAGGCAGCGCGCTCGTCCGTCCCCATGTGGCGGACGCTGGCCCTCGCCTCCGCCTTCTTCCCGGGGCTCTTCATCCTCTGCATCCGGGTGCTGCGCTGGGCCGCCCCGGGATGGAGCCTCAAGGAGCGCATCCTCCTCAGCGGCAGGTACGGGCGGCAGCGGCGGGACCCGCCGGGACCGGGATGGGCAGCGGGAGCGGCAGCGGGAGCGATCCGGGCGGGCCAAGAGCACCGAGTCCCGCCGGCCGTGAGCCTGGACCCGGGGGTGCCGCGATGCTCCGCGGGACGGTCCTTGC